ACTTAACCACTGAAATACAGATGTTTGAGCTTGTTAGCCTTGGAGGAGTTTCTTTGTATTTAATGTAATGTTCTTGTTGGGTACAGTACCTCCTAACTCCGCCTGTAGACCCTTCGGGGCTACTGCCGACCGCAAGCCCGGATTAAGGAAGAGGGTTGAGATTTGGATTGACGATCCCATCTAGGAAAAAACTAACTTTCCAAAAAACGCTAACAAGAAAAAAAAATAATTCAAGCCATATAAACTCTGCTCTGGGAGTTAGAAGGTCTCCATTTAGAAGAATTATGACGTCTCATGATGGAAGCCGAGTTCCTTTGGAAGTTATGAGCCCGATGCTCCTTCTGACAGCCAGAACCCTTCCACGGTGTGGGCAGCCGGAAAGTAACATCCGCCCTCATACCTATAAAAGCACACGACACCAAATCGGTCACAATGAAATCCTTTCTACCCCTGGTATCTCTCTTATCTCTTTGACCAACTCTTCTTACGATCGTTTGTCACCTCGCGCCGCAGAAGCAAACGGTTTGAGCTCACGAAACATTATTCCTGGTCTCCTGAAACCCCGTACTAAATTACGGATTGGAGCTTTTAGTGTTCGAACTTTGTGCCGAGTAGGGTGACAGGCTTCATTAGCTAGAACTCTGAAATCCCGGGCGATTGATGTATATTGTGTCTCCGAAACGCGCATACAAAATCCGAGTAAAATCATCAGTTTGGTTTCACCTTGTCCAGATAGGAACACAACCGTGGTGCTGCCTCCCGTGGCCTCGATGGCGTAGGTATAGCATTGAGTCGCAGGGCAGAACTAGTTCTCTTAGATTGGATCCCAATAGATAATCGCTTATGCGCTGCCCGACTAGACGGGACGGGACTCGGAAAGATAAGAAAACTCGCCGTTGCCTCTTCGTTATCTCCCCCACGCCCCCACTGACTGCGGCTCAAACGTTAGATGCTCTAATATAGTAATGATGGCTGGTGACTTTAACGCTCAAGTAGGTAGACTAAGTGAAAAGGAAAGACCCATAAGTGGATCTTATGATGTCGCGGCTCAGAGAACAAATAATGGCGGCCTTCTGCTGTAACTATGCTCAGATAACCGCCTATTTCTAACAAAAACAAATTCTAAGCATAAGGTAAAACGCCTTTTGACCTGGCGACCCTTAAAGCCGACCCAACGATGGACACAACTAGATCATATCACTATAAACCATCGTTGCAGAGGCTCTATTGAAAACTCCTGCTCATTCTGGAACACCTGCTTAGACTCAGACCATGCTCAAGTGCGAGCGCGTATTTGTTTGCGTCTCACTGGACGTAGGAAAAATATCACAAGGAAACCCCTTAGGGCTCTACTTAATGATGATAAAGCTGAGAATATATTTCAGAAACAACTGGAAAAACAGTTAGGCAACGATGTAAGTGATACCCACCCTGAGGTAGCTTGAAATGTTATCCAAAAAGCTGTGGAACACAGCAATAATATCTACTAATAAGGTAAACCACAAAGTTAAGGATAAGCCGTGGATTTCAGTAGCATCTACTAACCTCTCCCTACATCAGCCATCATCGTGCGCTGAGGTAGTTGGAGGATAAGCAAACGTAATCCACTTCTTAACCATCTCGTTCAAATAAGATTCATTGCCTGTCACTCGATCTTCTATGCTCACCTGGTACTCTAAATCTATCCTCGAAATCGCTAACTCGATGACATCCATGATGAAATAGCAGTAACCTACGAATATCCTCTATTTTTAGAAGCCACTTTTCATCGTCAAAAGTTAGAACTATGCAAACTGCTACTCGATAAACTCATCCTTTGGTCGGAAGGCGGATATTTAGCCTGCTACACATGTGATGTGAGTTGGCAAAAGTCAGCAAAGCTTACTGAATTCGTTTCAAAATTCTGTCAAACATTGACTAGGTTTGTTAAGACTTCGCAGTATTGTCGTCGCTGTGCTTGATTATTTCACTCTCACTTTATTAGTTCCGATTTTGATATAGACCAGTTCTGAACTAATGTTTTTTAATGTAATTGGAGTAAGGTGCATTCCAAGCTCTGGGATTATTGTTCAAAGCGATCAGAAGACTGGATTTTGTTAATGTCTCCACCAAATACAACTATTATGGTCGTAACATAAAGTTATTAGAAACTACCACTTTTCTTTGACTTTAGGAGGTTAATAATGTGACAGAAAGGTGGTTGTATTTTCAGGGTTTTAAGTTGTAACCACTAAAGTCTATAAAAATGATGAGATTCTGTTCGCACGCTTGCTTACATGGCAGAGAAGTCAGCAATGCAAGGAAGACAAAACCAGACTTTCTTTGGACGATTTCTGTTGACGTTGTAGATAACCTTGGCCGATTTGTCTGTTTTGCTCAAATGATCCATATTCACAATGTGTTCTGTCACTATTCTTGCGCTTCCTCCTAACCATGCACGACAGAATTGTTGAACCCTCTTGATCAGAACACACATTGGACGATTGATATATCCAGTTTTATAGAAACAGAGGAATCGATAAGTAAATAGTAGAGTAGTCAGACTCAAGAACTTTTTGTTCATTTGGTTGAAGAAATTCGATTCCAAAGTTGCTGCGTTAAGGATATTCTTTCCAAGATATCTTCAGTAGTGTCACATTAAAAGTCGATACTCACGAAGAGCATATGTTTCAATACATGGATAACTTATTTTCTAGATTTTGTACTTTTGTTTATAAATTCTGGTAAATATCCACTCTCCGATAGTATTTCTTGAAGGAGCTGAACTCTTTTGTCACGTTATGATTTTATATTTTCTGAATTCATATAGCGAGAGATGTAATCATATCATTCTTTTGACTGAAAGTTATCTAGTTACAGAAGACTGTTTACTGGTTGTTCCATGTAGGTTTTCTGTTAATTGATTGTTGTAAAGATCTCTCAGCATCTAAAACATTAATGTGTGGTCTAATTTCTATTTTAAAAGTATATTTTGCTAATAAGTAAAGGCTATTGAAAATCTGAAGATCATGCTTCAAGTTACAGTTAGTCACCAACAACGTATGTACCATGTTAGCATAGAGATGCAATTGTCAGTTCATATACCATAGTGGTAGATGTAATAGAAGTATTAGCGGTAATTGAGAGGATTAGGGTTCGACGATATAATTCAAGAGGTATAATCCAGTGAAATAAACTTAAAGAGAGAAAGAGACAGATGAAGAGGAATTCAGAAGACTAACACTTGACAGAACACGTAGAATGGATGCTCCAGACTCGCGAGGGGACGAGTGCATTTATTAGAACAGAATCAACCAGGTGTGGCTTCGGCTGTGCCTGTTATATTACCCGACCGTAGCTGCTACCTTAACGTGATAGTCGGGCTTGGTAATGACGTTTTAATTGTGTGAAAATGAATAGCATGTTTTTTCGCGTTGATTCATTTTAGTTCCGTTCTTATTTTCGATAAGTAATAGCTTTTAGCAAACATTGATTATGTTAGGTTCGTCAATAGGTACACTTAAAGCTAGGCTACCTGGACGCTGGTTCATTGTCTCGTTCGCGTTTATCGACTAAGGTGAAACCGTAATAGCTTCACGTGTACCTAGTGACGAACCTAACGATTGGCTACGGTAGTTTTGGAAACATGGACCCTGCCAAACTTGAATTATTACTTGAGCAGCAGCTGAAACTCCATGTTGACAGACATGAAGATTTCCCCTTCCACACAGCCCAGCTCATCTCATGCAACCACAGCTCCATCGGTCGATGTCATCGCAAATAGCATAGCTGAATTCCATTATGATCCTGATGCAAATGTTACTTTTGACATGTGGTTCCGGCGTTATCAGGATTTATTTAAATTTGATTTTGCCAATCAAGATGATTCTTGGGAGGTTTGGCTGCTACTTCGAAAGTTGGGTGCAAGTGAGCTGGATAAGTACTGCAATTTGATCCTGTCTTTGAGCCCACGAGATCGTTCATTTTCTGAGGCAGTTCAGACATTGACCCATCACTTTGGCGATAACTCGTCACTATTTAATTCTCGTTATCGATGGTGGAAGCTAGTTATGAACCAAGACGATGATTTTCTTACGCACGTGGGCATCGTCAAAGACGGCCACAGACCGGATCCTGAGAACATTTGAGCTATCAAACTGATGCCCACTTCTACTAATGTCTCGGGATTACGATCTTTTTTCGTATTAACCAGTTATTATTCAGCATTTATTCCCTCGATGCATGATATCTATTTAAATAGCTATTTGGAGTGGTGTTCAACCCGAATAATTGTTAAATTTTTATCGTAAGGTGAAGAATTTGTACATTGTGGTGCGTTTTAGAATTCTGGACTATTCTATCTTGTACCTTTATTAAAATTTTGTTCAACCCGACCTTTCTATAAATAAAGCTTTCATATCAGAAATCGTTTCGTCATTTACCACTTCACTGTATTGAATCTTTTTATTTCGCTTGTATTATCTTTAAACCTTCTCTAGGCAGAGTGCATAAATTTATCTTTTACAATCTTTTAAATATCAGTAAACCTTACATGATCGAATTTCTTTCTTGTAAATCGCTATCATTTCTCACAAACGGAATACAATTTTTGAAAGCGTGATCCTACTGTATTTGCAACATAAGTTTTGAAAGTTAGTAACACCCAGTGTTATTCCTAATAAACCTTTCAAAAAGTTACAGTTCATCTTCATCTATTAGTTGTTTTTACGTGACAACAGTTAACCAAGAAATGACGTATATAGCTAATTCAATCATCTTGCACTGTTTTTTCAAGTATACTGAATTTCGAATGGCAAAATGGATCAACATATCATGTGATATTTTAAGCCTATGAGTTCTGTTTACTTAAACAGGTTTTGTTCGCCATTGAGAGCCAATATATAGAGCGACAATCATATCATCATTTACATGTTTACGTGGTTCATTCATATGTCATGAAACACTCCTTCAAGTGTAGCCAATCAGTTTCTAGCTAAAAATCTGTTGTGAATATTAATGAGATTAGATTATTCACCGTTTTCACATACTTAACAGTTATATTCATTCTTACCAGTTTTCTCATGTTTCAACCACCGGAAGACAATCATTCTTACGTTTCGTTATCAAGCATACAATCAAGATCGTCCACTCTAACCAATAATTCACGAAGAAGAAACAAGTTTCCTCATCGTATTTTTGATACTTTTCAAAAATGGGCCTTTAAATCATCCAGTCAAAAAACGTCTCACACGTCGAGTGTTTCTTCACTGAACTCAAGTCGTTTATTAAATGAAAGCGAATTAAGTGACAGCTCTGATCTGACATCTTTCACCATATCTGAACGTGAAGAAAGCATTGTTTCCGAAGTGATTCGTAACCGTAAGCAACTGGAATCATTAGTTTGTGGTCATTCTGATTTTGTTCGCAATCACGACTCACAGTCCATCGATCCAGGTATAGTTGTGGTTCTGTTTGTTATTCTTAGGTGTTGTTCACTGTTATATATCGGCTTTAGAAATGGCTGAACTGGAATTACGAAGTCAGGTCCCATTAAATTCTAATGAGATGTTACAAGTGAAAGAAGTTAATCATTCCAAGAATAGTCTAGGTCGGATACTGAGCGTTCGTAATCCATATAGGAGAATGAGACTACTCAGCCCCTCACCGTGTATTTTGATCTCAAATGGGAGAATGTCAAATTCGGTAAGGTGTACTAAGTTGCTAGATCAGTATTTTCATTTATTATAACTACTATTGTAAATCATAATTATTTTCGTTTTTTCTGCAACAGAATATTGAAGAGGATGCGCGACTGGGGTTCGCAAATTTACCCGAACAGATGCACAGGAAAGCTGTCAAAAAGGGCTTCAATTTCACTTTGATGGTTGTCGGTAAGTTGGTTTAATCTGACACTTGTGATGATATATATTTCCCTTGAATTTAATATTGTATTGTATAGCTTTTTCATGTTTAGCATTCATAAATTTCCCTTGTTTTGATTTTAATCTGTAAAATTAAATATGCCATTAAAGTTTTCTACCCATTCACTGAAAAGTCAAAATTTTTTTACTCATCGATGGGTAGGTTTTTTGTCAGTATCATGTCTTAATATAGTCTTATCAAACGGTCTTAATTGTTACTTTTATATAACCATTTTAACTATTAACGAACACTTTAGGGTCTCAAAATTGTTGTCATTGTTGTTTTAATCCGTATACATAGCTAACACCATAGCGCATTTATTTAAAGACACTAGTTGTTATGCTGGCGGAGTTTGGTGAATGAGTTTTTGGTAGTTTAAAGCAATTGATAGAATGTTGATCGGTATGGATGACGTGCAATGGCACAACATAACTGATTGGTGATTGTTCATAAGACCAGCTTATTGATTGAAACGCCTGAATAAACTAATATAAAATACAAAATCACCTGTCAGCTTAATAGGCATTTTTATCTAGCAAAATAACATACTCGTATATTAATCCTAAGCACGATAATAAATATGATTAGAAGTAAGTTGAAACTTCATTGATTGAAAGATAATAATTTTTTTTACGGAAATGCCAATAAAGTGAAGAGCTGACGTTTGAACTTATTTTTTTCTCAATATATCACTCGCTCTCAAATATTAATAAGTTCAGCTAGTCTTTCTTGCAAGTAAACTATGTTCTCATCGTGAGATTGTACCTGATTACAATGGATATTTTTATGGATCCATAGCTTAGTGGTTGAAAAATTTGACTTTCAAACACTTTTCTGTGGGTTTGAATCCAACTTCTGTTTCGGGTAAACGTTTATACAAGATTCTGCCATCCACTTTAATAGTTCGCTTTCAGCTTTTGCTCTTTAGCGGGATTCATTTACTATCTATCTACCTATCATTTTATTTTATTGAAACACATAATTATTAACATAAAGGGGCATCTAAATATTTATCCGGTGGTTTTCTTAGGAGCTTTGGTCTACATATCTGATCCACATGACAGTGGAGCAACGTTAGAAGATGCAGTTTCATGATAGCCAGTGACTAACAATAGGTTCATACGCCATTCGTTCCCTCAGGATCCTGGAACTCATGAGCGTCATTGTCTTGGAATCCGGGTTTTCTAACTTTTCTAGGTGGATCCTTGGAACCCAACGATACAGATTAAGGCTGGATATTCACTTTCTACCCTCAGTTTCATAAACTCTACCCCTGTCGCTCAAGAAGGCAGTAAGTTGGACTTCCTTGGCAGTGACTATACACCTATGGCCGTGTGACAGTAATTGGAGAGGGAGAGCAGATTCTCTCAGTTTTTGGTAGTAACAGGGAATTTGGAGGCTTCTATCTACAATATAGACCTGTTTGTTAGAGGTACAAATTGACAATACAGTTGTTTCATAAAATTTATTGGACTAATAGCCCATAAAATATAGGAACATCTGCTTTTTTATTTTATGAATTTTTTATTATAAAACCCGTAATCCTTACTCATCTTTTGCCAGGTTCTACGTTACTCGTGTTTCTGTTTAGCTAATTTTGTTTTATAGCCTTTTGGGCAATCTTCATTCTATTGTTATTCGATAATCGATATCATTATTTAGTTCACTTGATTTCTAAGTGCTTCTCTCTTTTAGGTGAAAGTGGTCTGGGCAAATCAACTTTAATTAACAGCTTATTTGTTCAAGATTTATACAAAGACAGAGAAATTATTGAGGCAAATAATCGTATTCAAAGCACAACTCAAATTGAAAAACGCCAAATCGAATTAGATGAGCGTGGAGTCAAGTTACGTCTTACCGTTGTCGATACTCCCGGCTTTGGTGATGCTGTGAACTGCACTGACTGGTAAATTTTTCTTGTAGTTAACTTTTATGTCAGGCTGTTAAACTTCTCACATTAAAATACGTGATAAATTCCATGGCGATACTTTCATATCATTATTCTGTTAAATTACATTATAAGTAATTATTAGCAACTTAATTTTTCCTTCGTATAATTCCATTTTTATAATAGTAAGTTTCAAAACTTCTGTTACACTCGATTATATATATATGTATATATATAGCAACGCCAGGCTGATCTTTATTTTAAATTCGGAACATTAAGATGTGGATAGTCACAATCCCAAACTCAATCGACCTTAAGACCTTCAGGTCTTATGGGCATCACAAGTACTAAGTTCAATAATCTGTTTTCTAACAGGATTAGGATTTTACAGAAGTTTCAGACATCCATCTGCATCCACTGGTAAACACATTATTATTTGTTACACTGGTTTATGGAAATTTTCTCATACTTAAGTGTCATGAAATGCTGAAGTCAGCTGATAATTTATTTATTGTGGTTTTTCTAGTGCTAGGAAGTCTCAAACTCAGATAAGTCAGTCGTTCATCACCCCCTCCAATTTTCATTGCTTCTATAGGCAATACCAATTTTTTCACAAACAATGTATTTTAACGTAAGATTTTACATAATAGGGCGTTCGTTGTAATATCATTGCATTATTTAATCCTGATAACTGTAACACTATAGGTAAGTCGGTAAGCATTTCTTAAATTTTAATTATTTGTAAACGTTTGTTTCCGAATTACTGGTGCATCAAATTTTCAGTTGAAACTGATCAAAATACATAGGATACTTATTGCTCTGATTTTTTAGCTACATAATTCAACGATTATTTTTTCATGATGTGTTCACTACTCATTTTAACTGCTTGTTTTGTACTTTTCCTTAGTTGGAAACCAATTGAAGATTACATTGATAGCACATTTGAACAATATTTTAAAGATGAATGTGGTTTAAATCGTAAAAATATTCATGATCATCGAGTTCATTGTTGCTTGTATTTCATATCACCATATGGTCATGGGTAAGTAAATAAACATTAATTGTTAAAATCGAATTCGATAATTTAATTAGTCATCGGATTAGTGTTTTATATTGATTTGAATATATATATATTTATGAAATTTGGATTAACTAGCATTTTTCTAACCTGACATGTTCGAATGATCTAACTAACGTCTTTATTTATAAAATGTTGATTCACTGTTCTCTAGTATCATTTCGTATTTTTTTTCTGTACATTGGTAAGATTGATTATTTGTTTTGTTACATAACTGAATTCCGAAAGGTTATATTAGGTGCATATCGAGTTCATTTGCATATGTAAAATCATGTGATAAAAACTAACTTGTTAATATTCTTAAGTTAAAATATACATAACTATCATTTATTTAAAAAAATATTATTTCGCATAGTATTAATACAATGTAGGAATGTAGTCAAATTCTCAGTTCATTAAAACTAGTTTTAATTATACCTCAGTTAAAATCATTTTTCTGAATCCACTTTATTTAATCTGTACTACATATATATATATATATATATATATATATATATATATATATATATATATATATATATATATATATAATGTTAAATTTACAAATTTCCGAACAAATCAAACCAAGATAAAAATATTTTAATATAAACGTTTTTTTCTAAGAATTATATACTACTCTAATAGGTTGTGAGTAATATCTGTTGTAAATACCAATGAAATTTGTAACTGGCAGATGTAGATGTCGGTGTAGATAACATTGTATTGTCTTATTTTGAATGAGCATAATAAAAAGAAATTTACAAGAATAAATTTAACTACTTAGATCTATACAAAATGGAGTTGTTTTGGAACTACGACCGGATTGTTTAGAAGCTGTAGTTTTGGTTTTCATCAAGTAACGAGTTTGTTGCTGAATATTTAATACAACAACTTATATGCTGATTATTCTTTCAACATGGATTAAAAATTAACTAGAAAATAAAGTATTTGAGGGTTTGTAACTCAAGTATCTTTCTTGTTTAAACAAATAACTATAGAGTTGGATAGACAAAGTAGTCAGAATCTTCGAGAAATCTATCCCTTCGTGTTTATTAGCAATCACTGGTTTGAAGTCTGATAAAAAAACACGAAGTTCAGTCAAAGGGTCATTTTATTCCACAAGTTTTTTAATCAAACTATACAATCATATCGACATTCTAAGGATTACTTTTGTAAGGAAATGTCAACAAAATAAACATGGTGATGTATTAGTAGGATTTTAATCCTAGTTTATTTATTGAAAGTCGTAATGCAAGTTTGTGTTAATTGTATATGATGTATATTCAATCATAGTATACTTGTTTATTTTGTATATTTTTACGTGAAGGCCACAAAAATAATCGTAAACGTGTAAATTCAATTTCTGTTAATTTATTTGACTTTAGAGTTGTTTCAAATCCGACTATTTAAAACAAGATGACCAATTAAATATTCAAGCCAATTAAAAAAACATCGTCATCGTCTAAATATTGTTTTTACTTCTTTTTCAACTTACTTTAATTACCAGGTATAAATGAAATAAATTTTTCTGTGATTTTGTTTTTATTCAATTTAGTTTACGTCAAATAGATGTTGAATTTATGCGCCGTCTTCAACATAAAGTTAATATAGTCCCTGTAATAGCTAAAGCTGATGCATTGACTGCTAATGAATTACGTGCATTCAAAGAACGCATAATGGCAGATTTTGATCGATATAAAATTGATATTTATCGCTTACCTGAATGTGACAGTGATGAAGAAGATGAAATTAAACGTTTGGATAAAGAAATTAAAGTTAGTTAAGCATTCATTCATTGATGTGATAGTTTATTCTTAGAAATCAATGTTTAACTTGATGTTGTCTTTTTCCTACTTAAAACGTATCCTAGTAAAATGCTAATTCATGTGTTAATAACCAAATAATTAGGTAAATTTCTTAGTATCACATTGTCTTCAACTGTAGAACTGTTGTTGCTTCATCCTAGTTTGCTACTTTTCAGCACTTGGACTAAATAACTATCAAGTGATCCGTGTTTTTCACTGATTCTCCAATTGATCTCGATTTCTGAATGAATCTCAATGAATTACTGAAATAAATCCCATTATCTACATTTTTCATGACTGACCTCTATAAATTGAAAATGTATTCACATGTTGATAGATCAGTGTTCACTTTTGACATTCAATTTTTAATTTTTGGTAGGGAAGTTAATTTTGTATTCACATATTTGTTTGCTTAAGATATTAATAATTCGAAACTAATCAAACTAGGTTGCAACGTCTTAGGGCCCTTGAACTCAGTATTAGAAAACAAAGTGTTTATATTTGTTAAAACTTTTATTTATTCATTATTGATATCAAAACGTTACCTCATTTGATATCCCCATAGATGGCGTATGTAACTACTTCAAATGATCAGTTCTGTACAAATTTTCTCATATTCCATTTGTAGGTGAGAAATACATTTCTCATAATAGTATTGTCTCTTTTCAAAATAATTGGAAATCGGAATTCTTAAGCTCTAAATAATTATCATTGAATTTCTTTATTAGGCTGTTCTACCTTTCGCTGTTGTCGGTAGCAATTGTGTGATTGATTTGGATGGTAATCGTCGAGCTCGTGGTCGACAATATCCTTGGGGATCAGTTGAAGTTGAGAATAGTCGTCATTGTGATTTTACAAAGTTACGTATTTTCTTGCTAAAGTAAGTACATTATTATCTTCTGTATTCAATAGTCTGTTGACTTTATAAATTTTCGTTTTTAAAATTACTTACTTACTTACTTACTCCTGTTACACCCAATGGAGCATGAGCCGCCGACCAGTATTCACCAGCCTACTCTGCCCTAGACCTTCCTTTCCAATTCTGTCCATGTTTTGTTCATTCTTTTCATGTCTGTCTCCGTTTCTTGGAGTAATGTGTACTTTGGTCTTCCTCTTTTCCGTTGGCCTTGAGGATTCTAAGTTGGGGCTTGTCTTGTGACGCAGTTGGGTGCTTTCCGCAATCTGTGTCCTATCCGTTACCAGCGCTTCTTCCTTATTTCTTCCCGCATGGGAATCTGGTTTGTTCTATCCCACAGTAGGTTGTTTCTAACAGTGCCCGACCAGTTGATCCTCAGTATCTTGCATAGAAAACTGCTGATAAACACTTGTATCTTCTGGATGATGGCTTTGTCGGTTCTCCAGGTTTCAGCTCCATACAGTTGAACTGTGTTGTCATTTGTTTTGAAAATTCTGACTTTGGTGTTTGTTTACAGTTGTTTTGAAATCTAGATATTGTTCAGTTGTAGAAATACTGCCCTTGCTTTGCCTATCCGCGCCTTCACATCTGCATTGGATCCACCTTGCTCATCAATGATACTGCCCAGATATGTAAAGGTTTTTACATCTTCCAAGGCATCTCCATCAAGAGTGATATGGTTTGTGCATGTTGTGTTGTATTGGCGGATCTCGCATTTCCCTTTATGTATGTCGAGACCTGACGCTGCTGTTACACTGGTCGTCTTCCCTTGCATTTGCTACTGCGTGTGCAACAGAAGAGCCGGATCACCTGCGAAGTCTGGAATGTTCAGCTGCATCCTGACTGTGCACTGAATGCCGTGTTTCCCTCCAGATGTTGACGTCTTCATAAACCAGTTGATTACCAAGGGAAAGAGAAAGGGTGGAAGTAAGCAACCTTGCATGACACCGGTCTTCACTTGAAATGAGTCTGTGAGCTATTTTACATAGACGATTTTGCAGTTTAATCCATCATAAGAATTCAGCATGATGTTGACTATCTTTTCAGTCACGTCATAGTGTCGAAGAAGCCTCCATAGTTTCAACCTGTCCATGTTGTCGAATGCTTTTTCGTAGTCAATGAAGTTGATGTAGAGTGGTGGGTTCCATTCAATTGATTGCTTCACAATTATCGCGATTAGGTCTGTAAATGATCGATCCTTACGTGTTCCAGCCTGCTGGTCTCGAGTTTGGGCGTTTGTTAAATGTGTCATTCTGTTTAACAACACCCTTTTGAAGACTTTTCCTGGTATTGAGGGAAGAATGATGCCTCTGTAGTTCTCACACTTGCTGAGATCGCTTTTATATTGTATTTTGATGAGGTATCCTTCTTTCCAGTCTGTTGGTACTTGTTCCTCATCCCAAATTTTGTTGAAGAGAATGTGAAGTATTTTTGCAGGTACTTTCACGTCTGCTTTCATTGCCTCTACTGGAATGTTGTCTGGTCCTGCTGCTTTGCCGCTCTTGATTTGTCTGATGGCCATACTGATCTCTTCAATTGTTAGTAGGCCAACATCGATTGGTAGTTCCGTGGATGCTGCTTCGAAGTTGGGTGGGTTCAATGGGGTTGGTCGATCCTAGAGTTGGTTGAGACTTCTTTAATGTGCTCTACCCATCTGTTTCACTGTACTTCATTGTCGGTGATTACTTTACGTTCCTTGTTTTTCATAAGTCGTTCTGGTTTACGATGGTTTCCAGTGTGTTTTTTCGTCGTATCATATAGTTGCTTCATGTTTCATTCTCTTGCAGCCATTTTCGCTTTCATTGCTAGATCTTTCACTTATTTTTGTTTGTCGGCTCTGATGCTCCTTTTCACTTGCTTGTTCGCTTCTTTGTATTCAGCTCATGCCTTGGCATTCTCTCACATTGTTCGAACATTTCATGTATTAATAGAATGGTTGCTCTGGTTGTGAGAATTGGCATCAACCTCGTGACTTCCAAAGGATTTCGGCTTTTATCATGAGATGTCATAACTCTTCTGAATTAGGACCTTCTTACTCCCAGGGCGGAAGTGAAGTGGTTTGAATTGATTTTTTTTTGGTTAGCTTTTTTTAGCGAATTAATTTTCTACGGGATTGGGTCGTCAACTCCATTCCCAACCCTCCTTATCCCGGCTTGGGAATGGCAGTAGCTCTAGACGGGCCTCAGGTTTTGAGGCAGTAATACATTTTCTAGCTATTACTCGAATAGAGGCAGATCATGAAATGTTTTTCTTTAAATGGTTGTTGACTAATATATATATATATATATATATATATATATATATATATATATATATATGAAATCGTTACACATACCTACAAATAACAACGGTTTGGTAATTGAAATGAAACATAATTGGTTCATCACAAGCTGTAAAGTTGTTGAGGGTGCTAGATCCCCCAGAAATCTCTTGAGAAACCTCCTTTGGAATTTACTTGTGGAGTTTTGAATTTCCTATTTTCGCTCCGAAAGCGCCCCTTACCACCTGCAGTTTGGGTTTTCCACTCGGAAGGACCTTAACTGTCACTAGTTAGTTTTAGCCTTTAATGTCCCATTTTATAACTTTCCCGGGGACTCTTTTTGTACTGTATAAATTACACTTGGATGCTTTTTAGTTCGTTTCGCTTGCAGTTGTTTATGAATTATACCATCTTCCTGTTCACTTCGGACTTCTTGATCTAGCTGGCTGGGCTGGGTCGGGTCGCAGAGAAAAACTTTGCTATCCTGCTTTAGTATCAATGGTTATCGTTCCGTTCGCCGATATCAAGTCTTATTTTAACTAGCGCAAACATAACAAAAGTAGACTAAGCTTCTCTTTTTTCCTTTTTATGTTTTTATTCTTATTAGTCCAGTCAACTTTTGTCGCCATTAAGGAATTTTTAATGTGTCATCTAAAATGTGCTTTTTCAGCTGACATACTTGTTTTACCGCTTTCTATTTTTCAACAATTAATTTTAGGACACATATGCAAGATTTAAAAGATATGACATTGGATGTGCATTACGAAAATTATCGAGCGAAATATATCACTGAACGGATGTCTAAACGTCAAAGTGATCGTCGTGAAGGTGTTGGTGCTGGAGCGTATGTTATTCATTTTAAAAACTATTCACTTATTCTTACTCATTGATTTTGTTATGCAAAATATTTTGGCTTTATATCAAATATTACTTGCTAGATTAATACATTTTCAAAATTTTTACACTAGTTTCAATTCAAAATACTAACTTCTTGATTTCCATTCAAGGTATATCCTCACCTCTTACACATAGTCTATGTCAGGCCCTGAAAATACCTGAAACTTGGTTGTATACATCCTGATTTTTTCATGTTTGTTGCTTTTTCACATCTTTTTGATGATAGTCAAATGTATCGCTAAACATCTCTCATCATCTTTTCATTACGTCTGTACACCAGATACATTGATGTTACCTAGCTCATCCTTGTTGCCTTTTCTTAGATGTCAATAGTATTAGAACTATTTTCGCATGCTTTTTTCTACCAAAAATGATGGTTTACTCAAACATTATTCAGTAATATAACGTTATTCATTGTTACTAGCTTATTGTTTCGTCCGTTTTGAAGTTTCGTTTGTGAATTATGCATCGTATAACTACTCTCTGTTCACATTTTTACGTGGCAAGTAGACCCAATGGAAATATCTTGAACCTGGTTCAAGCTGTTCACATCACAAACAAGTAAGAAACTTTTTATCTACAAGGCTGTTTCTTTATAAATAGAGAATATTTGGAACAAGCTTCAACGTCTCGGTTGGTAGTCTGGTCTGCGCTTCTTCAGGGAAATGATCAAAATTATCCAACACATTTTAAACCAAACTCCTGAGCAAAAGGTCAGAGTCATTTTAATTTCAATTGATGAAATTTTTACGAATAGACTTCATTCTTGGTGTCCACCATGAACCTGACACCTAAGTTTGTGCTTCTATTGGTTTAAATTTAGACCAAGGTCCCTATGAAACTGTCTTTTTTGGAATATTCTATTTTCTTTATATGTGGTCTAAACGGTTCTAATCATTTACTGTCCTTCATTTTGTCTACTTGTTTGTAGATTGGCAAGATTAGAAAAAGAGGGTGGGACTGGCTTTGAGGCTATTGTTGATCAAGATAGTTTACTAAAGCAAAAAGAAGAAGAGGTAAGTCAAAATAAAAACCTAGGTTTTGGTAACATCAGATTTTTTGTTCGGACATATTATTTTCCAGTCTTTCAATAATTGGATGACCACTTTCAGGAAATGAAGTGTTGTATTACGATTCTTTGCGTTTTCGGTTTGCCAATATTCAATTTGAACTGTTTCACATATTTTCAAATTTCTTAAGCCTTTGATCTTGTCATTCCACACTATTCTGTCAAACATTTTAATTTAAATAGTTACATGCGTTGTCATTCAAAAAAAGCTTTTTACAGTGTCTCCACTTCAGCGTTGTTGGATGTGTGGGACATTGTCGTACGTTTTCTTACTTAAATGAAAATGATGTGTACTGCACTGGTAATTTAGCTTCGTTTTTCTTGCCACTTATGTCACTAGTTTGTATATACAGCAGCTCGAATTACTTCAGCGTCTTTACTTCATTTCATATAAGTTATCATTTTTTGATCATAATAACTAGCACATGATTATCTACTATTTCTTGAATAACTCCTGTTGTGATATGATTATGGGTACTCTCTAGGTGTTTATATCAAAGTAAGAAAAATGGAACTCATTCTAACAACCGAGTCATCGTGATTAGAATGATCAAACCTTTAAATTACTTATAGTGCATTATTGGTAAATTGTACTTCGAAACGACTGTTCTTCATTTCCTAATCACCAGTGGTTATGACTTTAGTAGAACTAGATTAGGAAAAATCTGATTGATACTAGACTGAGGAGTAAAATAATTTCGAATGGTCATTGACTATCTGACACATTTTGGTAGGGATTGAAGTGTGAGAGATAATCGTGATTAATCATTAAAAACGTCAGGTGACACGAACCAAATTCGATCACTATTGGAGTTCAATTCGTTTTCTATCCTTGAATAAATCTTTAAGTATTGTTGTATACCTAATATTCTTCTACACGATTTCTTCTTTCTGAAACCGAAGTAGCTTTGTGTGAAAATACTGTGCCGCTGATGACCAGTTTCTTGAAGTCACATAGGTTTGCAAATCTCTCACCATTTTCGTTCTTTTCTCTGATCCCATATTGTCCCATGATGTTTACGGATGCGGTGTTGTCCATTCGAATCTTGACTGTTTTGTCTCCCGTCAGAATGGTCTAGTCGTTTGTTTCTCGACGATTGACTGCAGCCTCTCATAGAATCGATTCTTAACATTTTCATTGCGATCGATAAGAATGTGCTCAGGATATATTGTCCCTGGTGACATGAGTTTATAAGATGTTAGAGTTTACTGGTGTTTCCGAAACTTTGTTTAATATAAAACGGTTTTTTTTAAATTAAGTGATTAGAGTATAATGTGAGCTTTCAGAACTCAGTTAAAATGATCTATTCATTTGGTTACTTTCAACTCATTAGTGTTTATTCAATTTTGTCTATAGACTTATTGTCTATATTAATTTCATACATTCCAATGTTGTCTATTGTCTGACCTTGAATAAAATTGCTCATTAATTCAGTAGGTATTAGTATTGTTTGGTTACTTGATTTTATTCATCTGCAACAAAATTAAGTTTTCAATGAACAGTTGATAGTACAACCAGTTTCAGTCATTAATCAATCTTAATTAACATAGAACAACTTGAAATGAATATGTATCTATCTAAGTTGAAACCGATTGTACATTGAATAGCGAAAAGAATTGAAAATCCGTAGCATTAATAACTTCTCAAAAACTCTAGATATTCTTTACGATTCGAATAGTACTAAGTGTTTACAGGTTGAATAGTAGAAAGCTGAATAATATTAATTATCAGCTTCATTAGTTATGATAACGACTCATTTTTGTTTATCGGCAATCATCAAGCCTTTCAAAAAGACTATTTTATTCTTGGTACACTATGAAATGTTTTCCTACGTATATATATTTTTTACTTTAGCTTCAAAGAATGCAACAACTAATGAGTAAAATGCAAGAACAGTTGAAACGTAATACCAATGTTGTGCCGAACGCATCAGTCAGTTTAAATAATGGTACAAGTAATGTTCAGTCTTCGCCTATTCCTGCAACTGGTCCACAAGCGTCTTGAACACGTAAAGCGTACAGTCTGGCTAGGATTCAAAATCATAATTTTATTACTTTGCTTAGAATTCAATTGATTAGGTGGGAGAACAGTCAGTATGCTAATGATAATTATTTTATCGCCTGTACTTCAAAAACTGCTTCTTTCTCTAAATTTATACTATGTTTAATTATCTGTTTACTCATATATCCAATTACCGGTTTCATATAATTTTACTTCAAAAAGCAGACAGATATTCTTTTGCTCTTAATGAACCAAATGGGTCATTTATTCCTAATTTTTAATTATCTTTGCGCTTCATTAATAATAAAGTAGAAGAAAGTTTTCTCTACTACTACTAGTACTTTTGCTTTTTGCAGTTCATTGTAAAATTATTTCTTCTCTTTCCTTAATTGGTCAGGAATGTGCATTTTTTTCTTATTCTTAATTAAAACAGGCTAGTCGACTACATTTTCATTCATCTAGTCTATCTTCAAAATCTATTTTACTCTCTCGTTACTACAAGTTCAGTTACACTTTGTTCACTAAGAAATCATGTATTTGTTATTTGATGTGAAAATGCTGTATATTTCTGTTCACGTACGCATTTTCATATTTTTTGCTTTTTCACTTCGTTTGTTTTATATTTTGGAGTAATAACTAAGATATTAGGTACAATAAACCATGCTTATCAATGTCAAATGATTGTCAGTTTTAAAATACTTATCATGCTCAGTTATTCATGTCTACTTTGTTAATTAAATTTTTTTCCTTTAATGTACTTCGCTGTTCGCATTTAACGGTTTCCTGTGAAATATTTGCATACCCTTCCACTTAATATATAATTGGAAGTGTTTGAAAGTGAATTTTTGCTTATTTGTGTGGTATGTCAAAGCGTCACCACCAAAGTTTAAAACAAGATTTGAGAACAATTTTAATAGAACTGTCTGCAGATCTAATTACGATCGTGAAACAATCCTCGCAGACTTGAAACCTTACGGTTTCTTATGAAAAATGCTCCATAAATAAACGTTAAAATTTGAAGTCAGTATTGCTATCTAATCAACCAAAGAACTTTATCTCGTTGAGTAGACAAAAAGATGTAGCAATAAAACAAGATAAATGAGACGTTATTTACGTTACAAGCGGAAAATTGGAAAAGATAGACTAATAATCGAATGATACGATGTTTCATTCCATATTTCAATGCATCTACAGAACTATCCGGAGGAATTTGACAAGGAATAACTAAAACCCTTAAGAGCCTCTAGAGACTTCCTGACCGTAGCGGCTACATTGACGTGGTAGTCAGGCTTGCCTATCGTGATTACCCAACCGAGCTATATTGGCTGGAACACATGTTCCTGCAGGTTCTACCATGACAGTCAGGTCGATTGAAGAATGGTCAGACTGAAAGCAGCAACTGAGGGCTAAGTTGTACTCCTGGCTAGTGGAGTGTGACAGCAGTAACAACCACCATCTGCAGCCTTCTCACAAGAATGAAAAAAGGTTACCAAAGGTCGACCTTAAAAATGTCACAGCTCACTTTACCTCACGGATTTCCGTCTCCAGCGGCAAGGCCTTTTAAACAAGAGCGAAACCAACACTTTAAAAAGTTCTCATGAAAGGGCGGTCTGTGACCGGCGTCAAGCAGTTGTCTCTTGGGCTCTGTTGTTACGCTCCCAGGTCTCAGCCAAAATTTGATCCGACTTCTTTTTCAGGTTCCTCAAGAAACACCCCTCCATGGTGTGGGCAGCCGGGAAGTGACATCGTCCCTCATACTCCTAACAGCACACGAGACCAAAGTGATCACAACCAAATCCTTCCTACACCTAATAAGTCTCTTGTCTCCACGACTAACCGTCCTCACATTCCTTTATGGCGCCGCACCGCTATTGCAAACCATTCGAATTATGAGTTTAATAGACATTGGAGAAAGTCTATGATGAATTTTAAATAATTACCAGTTCAAAAAATCCAACAACGAAAATTCTTCTAAGAAAAAGCAAGGCCACATAGAAAATAATCGCGAACAGTGATCAGTAGCGGAAGCAAGAGCGATGGAAAAGGCAGCGATGATAGATAACAGTAAACAACTGTTCCGCCTAATCAAGGAAACTGGTACTAGGAATCCATCTGTTAGCGAAACTATCTCACGAAATGAATCCAGGAGGTTGGATCGATGGGCAGAGCACATCCGAGATCAGTTCAACTTGCATTTAGCGACACTTCGGTTGCCCTCTATCTCCAGTCATCCTAAAAGGCACAGCTTTGTAAGTCTTCCGACTCTTGATAAAGTTGAAAAAGCCATAGGAAATCTGAAACGAGGGAAAGCAGAGGGTCCTGATAGACTGACTCTGAGATTTTTAAGGATAGCGGTCTAGTCTTAGCAGCTAGATTGGCTGAGATCTTCGATAGAATTCTAGAACTGGACGTAATCCCATCCGAATGGTCTCAAGCCCTGATTGTCACAATTTATAAGAAAGGACAAAAGTCCTCTTGTGACAATCACAGAGGAATCAGTTTAACTAATATAGTGTCTAAAACGTTAGCCTCGATAATACACAATAGTAATATTTCTCGACCTGAAAGAGGCATTCGACTCTGTAGCAGTTTCTCTCATCAAAAGGCGTACCAAAGAAGTATATTACCTTATACGAGCCCTCTGCTCGAACGCTACAGGCCGGGTGGGAGCTTATGACGAACTGTCATCGGAATTCTCTACTTCAAGTGGTGTCCGTCAGGGCTGTTCGCTCTCTCCATTATTGTTTAACTTTGTCATATACATGCTTTTAGAGTTAACATTATCCTCGTCAGATTTTTCAGGGGGTGGGCCTTCTACCAGGAGGATCGCTTATTGACCTAGAATATACCGATGACATAGTTTTATTTGGTGAAGACGCTGACAAAATGCAGTCTTCTGACCACCCTAAGCAACAATACAAGCATGTTCAGGATGCGGTTCTTTCCTCGAAATACAAAATGTTGTTTCAGGATCGGCACATGAACTAGTGATAGGGAGTGAAGCAGTTGACCTCTTGACTTATCTCGGTATTCTCACCAATATTTATGGCCTCCTGACTGACCGAATCTCAGGACGGATGCAGAAGGCTCGATTGGCTTTCGCCAACTTGCGTCACTTATGGCGAAGGCGAGATATCCGTCTCCTAACCAGAGGACGAGTATGCTGCGCAGCGGTTTACTCCGTCCTTCTTTACGGCTGTGAAACATAGCCAATCAGAGTAGAAGACATTCGTAGGTTACTTGTTTTCGATCATAGGTGTCTACGAAACAATGCTCGTTTATCTGGGGACTATCGAGTGACCAATACTGTTGTTAGGAAAAGGGTACTAGTTAAGGATGGCAGATCAACAGATGAAGTATTGAAACTTCATTAGTTGTGGTTGGGACACGTGTTACGTATGCCTAACCACCGAATGCCTTGTCAAGCGACGCAGGAATAGGTTGGGTGAAAGCTAGGGGCGGCCAAACCAAAACATGGCAGAAATCCATGAAGTCACTGACAAGTGGACTGAGTCATGTTGACAGGTGTCGACTACCACGTTGAAGCTCGCGAGATGATAGTAATCCATGGTTAGAGACCTTGGATAGCATGGTTCAAAACCGTTTGCAGTGGTGCTGTTGCATTCATTCTTTGCGTTCCCTGAAATTCTGATCTTCGGTATTCCTCATCACCTCTATCTGTCTCTCTCTAAATTTATTTCATTGAATTATACTTCTTGAATATCTTCGAATCCTAATATTCTCCATTACCGCTAATATTTCTACAACCTCTATGGGTTTTGAACTGGTAATTTCATCTCTGTGCTAATGTGATATGATAACCTACGTACGTACGTGCGAAGTTCAACGTTGTAACTGACTGGCCTCTAGAGATTCGGACACGTCGATCTCCGATTAGTAGACATATGCTGAATCTGTCAAACGGTAACAGACACACTTTGCTTAAGAGTGCCAAGTAACTCAGATTTATGTCCAGGATTTTGTTTCGAGTATCTTAAACTGTCTAACACTGCACGCGATGTCGTGTCATTTAGACTATTGACCACATTGCAACTTGATCGAGAGATTAAGATCACTACGTAACACACTAAAAATATGACATGTGTTACGACTCAATGATCAACTATTATTTGTCAGGTGTTGTTAAATAATGTATGTAGAACTACCGTCTAATTGCACTTCGTTTTTAATCTTACAATAACATGTCAAAAAACAGTGAAAGGTACACATTTGTAATTTATTAATACTCAACAAGTAAGTGGGTGTGTTGATTTTTATTAACCATGCATTCATACACTGTTAAAAATTGTTTCTATAAACCGTATAAAAATAAAAAGCATTACTGACACAACAACACAGACACTTCTGAACTTTGTACTTATTAACTTTTACTAACTTCTGAAGGTAAATGTGACTAAAATTAAGGAAAATAAAAACAATCCTTGGTGTAAAATGGAGCAACAGAAAGGGAAGCAAAAAAATAAACTACAGATAATTACTTCACGTTTTTAAAAATCGACTAGTAGTCAATATTAGTTGCATGTGAATAAAATACGGATTAAAGATTGTAGAACTAAAAACAAATTACAGGACATATCAACGTAAACCGGTCAAGTAGTTTCTCGCCCTTTCATAATGGACAAACAACAGTAATCGATAGTTTATAATATCTGAATAAAAACAACTTCGACCCTATACTTTTTGTACATTTGGCTGTCCTGTTGCTGATTGGTCAAGATTTGGTTCATTAGTCAAACGGTCTTGTTCTTCTAATTGTGCCTCACTAGCTAGTCTTCTTAATTCCGCTTCATTGGTTTCAAACATATCCTCTTCATCTTGAGCCGTCTGAAAAAAAAAACAGTATTCTTTTAAACAGCTATATGGGTGAGTGTGACAATAGAAATGAAGGTAAACCTTACTGTGTAAATCATTAAGGCTACTTAACATGAATTGAATTAAATATACCTAGGAAATTAATTATATTTTATTGACAGCCTTAAATAGTTTTGTATGACTTATCTAAAAAGAATTGGCTATCAAAAGTTTTTAGTATACCGTACGGATGAGTTTGAGTGTGATGTTGTACAGCACGTAGGTTAACGAAAAAAGGTAGCTATATCCTCATGGCATTGCGAATGAACCACGTTCAGATTCAGTACATAGTTTAGAAATGATCAAAGTTAATCCGTTAGCACCATTACGGTGGTTAGGTTGTACGTTATTTACATCTAGGAATAGGGTGATAAATTAAATGCGTTTTATTAAATACAGTCCAATGTTAGAATGATCAGTTGGTTGAAAAACGAAGATAAATTTAATCCAAGGTAATGTACAAACATGCAGAAACATCTGAATTGTACTTATTGTTGAATAAGGGATAATTCTAGTGTAATACAATACGTGATTAGGTGAAAATCTAACCATATTACCCCACATCTTAATGAATACATGATTTCTTTACCCATACCTAACCATCACCAACATCGTCCAGGATACAAAAAGCTAACTTGGGTTCAGCCAACTTGTACCATTTATGGCACATATAAGATTTCTGTCCCCTAATCAAAGGGTGATCACTCTTCTATTCTCTGTTCTAAATCTGTGAAGTATAAAGTTTTGAAAGTCGAGGGAATGCTTCAGCTTTCATTATTTAATCAAAGGCCTCTTCAAAAGGCCTATGATGAAACGAGTGAGCGAGTAATGCTGAAGTTAGGTCTAGTATATTAAATATGGCTAATCGGTTAGCAAAGCCAAGGTGTATGGGACATGTGTCATGTATGTCTAACAACCACCTAGCCTAATGCAGTAAGTTGAAAAAGCTAAGATCATCGTGTATT